CATACGTAATATGGTACTTGTTTAAACCCAATTATTATGAATAGTTAAGTCATTTCAACATAAAATATGTCATTAAATGGGTTAACACGTTTACTTATTTAATAAATAGGTTGAGTTAGTGTTAAAAGTTTTCGACACGATTATTAAATGGGTCGAGTTTAAATTTACTTATTTAGTATAATACTTTTATATTGATCCCTGCAATCTATCAAGGAAAGGTAGAAGAACAAGAAGTAAAAAAAAGAGGAAAACATAAAAATGAAACAATCAACTCCCCATTATGCCCATCCATGATCTTCTCTTAGATGCACGTGTGAAGTAGGAAAGTGAGATAAAATAGAAAGAAAAACAGTCATTCACATATATCTATTTAATCATTTAAGAAAGAAAAATAAAAATTACATCCACGATCCACTTCCACACATATACATGAAATCACACGTGACAATTGACAAATGAGTTGAATGACATAGGAGTTGTGAATGAATTATTGTTGACTAGGACTCTCTTCCCCAATTATAAAAGAGAAACAATGGCACTTTACTTTGCATTGTACTTGGGATCATTAAATTTACAATCAAATAAAATTAAAGAAAATTATTTTTCATTTGATATATATATATATATATAGACACACACGCTTCATTAGTGTGTTAATCCATGAGCCCGAAGTTGACACGCAATTGCGGCAGAATCACAGCTTTAATCCTAATAATAGAAGATAAAAGTCACGCGTTAAGATTTCCGAACCTGGAAAGAGCGCCTTTTCCGAGCCTACAGCTACGTTCCGTACGCCGCTTTGTCTCCTTACAAGTTGCAAGGCTGCCACCTGTCCTTCATACCTTCTTTTGGCTATTCATGTCATTATATATATATATATATATATATATATATATATATATAATGTATTATTATTGATTCTAAAATTAAGTGTTTGTCACATTTTCTTACTACTTTTAAGATCCTTTGGTTCATTTCAATAGACCAGTTTATCTTCAAAGGAATGACTTCTAAATGGTATATATATAAAATCACCAAAGAATAACATTTACGCTATGGTGAAAAACCTTCTAATATCCATGTTTTTATTATTATTTTGAGTGATCTCTCTTTTTTGCAGCTAAGAGAAATAAAATAAAGTTGATGTATAAAAAACTAATAAATGCAAATTTTAAATTATTTTTTTGCCTGCAAGATATATAGAATTTATACATTAAGAATGTAATAAATTATGTTCGGTTACATAAAATTAGTACTTTAGAATTAGAATTTAAAAAAAAAAAAAATTATTTCAAAATATAATCAACGAATTCTGCTCTACTCTATGCTAATCCTTTAGCAATTGTATAGTTACTAGATTTTAATATATAAAATTTAACACTACTAAGAAAAGATTATAGTGATGAATGAGTAATAATAATAGCTTCAACTTACCCAAAATAATAATAATAATAGATTCAAGCAAATATATTTTGAGAATTTACTTAATATAAATTTTCCCATACCCTAAACCGAAGAATCAATTTTTTTTTTCTTTCTACAAAATATATAGTTTGCAACATTGTTTAATAAAACTGAATATGATATTTATGATTGAAATCAACATTCAATAGTACATTCTATCTTATTTATAAAATTTACTTTACCTTTCAAAAAAAAAAAAATTCAATAGTCTTAAAGACTTTTAAGAGAAGAAATTATAATTTGAATTCCATTGATATTTGGTCAGATACTACCTAATGTTAATTTCACAGATAAGAGTTTCAAGAGCTGAAAATATAAATTGAAACTTTTGAAATTTGGTCAAATACCAGCTAATGTTAATTTCATAGATGTAGATCCACTAATAAATGGCACACACAATATACATCATTCATACATACATACATACATACATATATATATATATATATATATATATACACATATTTATTTATTATTTATGAGAATTTACTTAATATAAATTTTCCCATAGGACCCATACCCTAAACCGAAGAATCAATATTTTTTTTTTCTTTCTACATTATATATAGTTTGCAACATTGTTTAATAAAACTGAATATGATATTTATGATTGAAATCAACATTCAATAGTACATTCTATCTTATTTATAAAATTTACTTTGCCTTTCAAAAAAAAAAAAAAAACATTCAATAGTCTTAAAGACTTTTAAGAGATGAAATTATAATTTGAATTCCTTTGATATTTGGTCAGATACTACCTAATGTTAATTTCACAGATAAGAGTTTCAAGAGCTGAAAATATATATTGAAACTTTTGGTATTTGGTCAAATACCAGCTAATGTTAATTTCATAGATGTAGATCCACTAATAAATGACACACACAATATACATCATACATACATACATACATACATACATACATATATATATATATATACATATATATATATATATATATATATATATATATATATCTATTTATGTATGTATATATTTGTGTATGATAAACACGGATGGGAGTCGATCATCCTGAACCCTCAAATGTGGACAGAGGAGGATGCTTGAGTTTATCCAACAGGTTTGCATGTCGTTGTCAAATGCTAATCTTATCCCTTATAAATGTTGTGAAAGCTTGAAAGGGAGAGACCATATATATGTTTTCAATTGAATTTGCAGACACTTATCATCAGCTACAACTACTGTATGTGATGGTATTGAATTATTATTTTTAATATAAAGTTTTGTTTGACAGTGAAGGGTCTAATCCACAACTTGATAACCCTAGGAAAGTATCTACACACTATACATGTACGAGACCGCATTACAGTAATTCTGAAAATAAAATATATGCCACCAACAAAATGAAATATATGCATGTGATACAATTATTGAGACATATATAAGAGGAAATTCGATAATTCACGTAGCTAATCTTGGAAGGTTCATGAAAATTTAAGTTATTCTCGTAGTTAGGCCTATGTGAATTGGAATTTTAATTCGATAGTCTGTTTAGAATTTGAATCTAACATTTACTTTATCTTTAATTTAAGCGGTTTTTTATTTTTACTTTATTTATTTTCTTAATTAATTTTTATTTATTGAATTAAACAAGCAACTTGCACAATAAAAAATAAAAAATATAAGTCAACCATGGGTCTAACTATTATTTATTAGCCAATCAAATCTTTTACTTTTTGTCCGGTATATATATATATATATATATAGGGGTAATATGAATAATTTCATTATATATTTATTTTTGCCAGCGATACAACCTGGTGGACAAAAAGTCAACGTAGCACGGGCATTTTTCATTAATACAAGTTCTAAGTTTGTTTTATGCGTACGGGATGCACTTAATTTACAAGTGATTTCGGGTACTTATAAATATAATCTTCTATTATATGTTTGTGGTTAGTTGTGCAATATTATAAATTTTGACTCTCAGTCTTGGAGGTTGGGAGTTGCAATTTGGTCATTCTTAAAATATTTCTTAATAATTAATTGTAGTGTTGTGGATTAAAAATATATATATAATAATTTGCATGTATTTGATGGTGAATTATGAAATTTATTAATAAACTCACTTGTATTTTATTTTAAATAAAATTAAAAAAAAACTTTAAAATGTGTTAATCCGTTTATTTAGCTTGTTATATTATTATATATTAGATTAACAACTTCACAAAAGAATAATTTATACTTTCTAAAACAGAGAGTCATGAATTATTAGTAGTTTATATAATGGTATTCTAATCTCATTGTTGGATAGAATAAGTTGTGAGGTTGACATGAACTCCATCTCATCTAACCGTCGTTCAAGCTTGAATATATACGAAATTATTTTATTAGTCACACAGAAGAAAGAGAACGGGACCAGAATAATTCATTATCATCTATTGAATGAGACGAATCTTATGATGAAACTTATCTTTTTCAGATAAAGTAAACTTGCACTTATCACATTAATCATTAACCATAATTAGTTGTTAACATTTTTCAAGAGCTTATAAATGAAAGATGAAAGATGTTATAATGGCATCTTGAGTTTTGTTGACTCATTGCAAGTTGCACCATTTTTGATGATTCATGACCATGTTATTATTATTTTTTTCTTTTGATTTATCTTAAGGCAAAGGTTCCATAATTAAGGAACATATACATATACCTACCCAAAATAAGTTTATGTTTAAATATAGATATATGTCTCGGATGTATATGCCATCATGGCTTATGTTATTAGAATGAGTAGTTTGAGAATAGAGATGCAAAGTGCCTTCTTCACACGCTGAAGTAGAGTTCAGACTTTGAACCCTTCTTTTTACCATGTTAACATGGCGGGGCGAGAAAAAAACCTCACAAATTGATTAGTCTTGTCCGGTTATTAACTTTTTACCTAAGTTTAGGTTCAATCTTGGACTCAAACAGTACCGTACAAATTATATCATAAACACAATAAGATTAGGAGTTTGTTTGGGAAGAGAATCCCCGACCAATTAACCTCGTTTAATAATATATAAATAAATAAACTTTATTTTGTTAGCTATGACTTTTGTTTTTTCCTTATTTTTTATGATGTTTTTAAATTTGAAAAACATTTTTGTTATTATGATTGATAAATATTTAACAATATTATAAATATTTCAACAAAATTTATGTTAGATTTGTTCTAAGTTTAAATTATTTTTTCTAGAAAAAAATATGTACATGATACATCGGACGTTCCAAACCCACCCTAGCTACCAAGTCCATGCATAGACTCCATGAAACAATGGTGCTGGTATAACTTCGCTTTGCTAAGGAAATTGAGCTTCAAATGAGCTCAACACCTCACACACACACACACACACACACACAGTTGATAGAGATGTCAAGCCAAGTTACATATCATGTACACGCAAATCATTAATCTGAAATAACAGCCATTTTTAGACTCTGTATTTCTCTAAACAGAATACATAATACAAAATGGAGGTTGCTTTCGCAGGCTATATATATATATATATATATATATATATATATATATTTGGGGATTAATTCCTCGTACATTCAATAAATCAAAATTTGAAATTCAATTCTGGAGATGGCCTTGACCCAACAGAAAATAAAAATAAAAATTGAAACTCCCTCAGTTTCTTGTTCTTTCTCTGCTTTACAACTAAGGGAAAGAAGAAAAGGGAAATAATAATAATAATAAATGATTAAACTAATTAGTGGAACGATGGAGTTTAAACTAAATCACCAAGTTTAAGTGGCTTATCATCCTTAATTTCATTGCTGTCATCAACCACACCTCTGGTCAGCTCTCGAGCTCTTTGTGCCTCAAGCTCCCAATCTGTTCGACTCAAAACCACCAACATGGTGACTGCACAAGACCCCTGCGCAGCCAATAGACCCATCCACAGCCCTTCGAAATTGAACCCGAAAAAGAACCCTAACCCTACTGCAACTGGCATCCCCACAAAGTAAAAGCAACCCAAGTTGATGTTTGCTCCAACTTTAGGCCTAGCTGTTCCTCTCAGCACCCCACACCCCGTTGTCTGTGGACAATTCCCAAGTTCGCACAGCCCAATTATAGGCAAAACAAGAGATGTCAACGCTATGATCTCTTTATCTTGTGTGAACATAGTAGACCACACATTCCTCACCATTGTTGCGAATGTCAGAGCTGAAAATCCCAATACGAAGCTACAAGACAGGCCTACAATGGCTGCCAGCTTCGCTTTCGAAGACCGGTTGGCACCCAGTTCGTTTCCCACCCTCGTCGACACGCTGAAGCTCAGGGAAGATGGGAATATGTAGATTAGAGAAGTGGTCTGAATCAGAATACCCATTGAAGCAACAGTTGCTCTCGGGTTGATCAACAACCCACACAGCAAAATCATGATCTCGTACCACCACCATTCGAGACACACAGAAATGCAGCTTGGAATTGCCAAATTGAGTAGTGAATTCCAACCTTTTAGACATTCTTTGGACAAGCCTCCCCAAGTTGTTTTGTACACACCAGAGATAAATATGTAGATGATTAGAGAAGCTACGAGATTGATATTTGTCCACACCCCACCAAGAGCGACACCTTTGATTCCTAAACCAAGCTTTGAAACCAGAAAATAATTAATGGGTATGTGAAGAATGATTGCTAGAGCAGAACAAAATGTTAGAGGTAAAGTTATGGATTGAGTTCGGAGATAGATTCGTAATGGGTGAAGCAGAGATTGAGCTAAGAGGTCGGGAAGAGAGTACAAAAGATAAGATTGAGCTTCTGTCGCTATAGATACATCTTGGCCACACAAGAGTAGAATTCTCTTCATGTTAAGCCAAAGAAGAGCTATTGGGAATGAAGTTAAAATGAGCAGAAGCACCGTTCTTTGCAAGGAAAGGCCAAGAAGGGTGTGTTTTTTGGCGCCAAATGCTTGGCCACATATAGGTTCCATTCCCATGGCGAGGCCGGAGAGAATCGAGTATCCGGTGATGTTAGCGAAGCCGACGGCTAGAGAACCGCCGGCCAAGGCCAGCTCGCCGAGGCGGCCTAGGAAGAGCATGGAGATCATTGAGCGAGAGTAGAGTAAAAGGCCTGTTAGTATCATTGGAAGTGCTATTTTGGCTATGGACTTGGCTTCTTTAATTGAATCAGAGAGGAGATGAGTTTTGTGGGCCTTATCGGCTTCACTTGATTGCTGCTGCTGATATGTTCGAGTTTCGGGTATCAAAGGATCGAACATGTCGGACTCTGGGTTTTTTATTACTATGCTGGACAGAGGAGAGGGAGAGGGAGAGGGAGAGGGAGCTAGTTGACACATTATTATGTCTTCTAGAGAGAGAGAGAGACAGAGAGAGAGAGGGGGAGAGGGGGAGAGAGAGAGAGAGAGAGAGGATTGGGGGGTTTAGAGAGGGGCTAACGAGGGGGGTTTTAAAGAGTTTCTATGGACGGCCTTTTTACACATTGGATTTTGAAAATATATGATAATCCAATTACATTAATTCTGGGATAATTTGGCGCCATTATGTTGTCTGGTTCGACCGGCGAGCATATAAAAGAGGGACAGAGAGAACGAGAGAGGCAATCTACTTGTTGAGAACTAAGATCCGAGACTTAAAACTTCCAATTTTTTTTTTTGGTCGTCCAAATACAACTTGAAACTAAACAAACTTAAAATTTTGGATTATGCATAATAGAATTTTAATTATAATTACTGTTCCTTTATAAAATGAGAGTCAAAGTGGTTTGTCTAACGTTTTCGGTTTGTGTCACGGCCTCATTCATGTTGTTTGAACTAAAAACAAAACAAAAAACACTGTTCGAATGGTCTTATATCTATGTTGCAGTGATGTTCTTTGAACTATGTCATGTTTGATCCACGAAACTATTTGAGGTAAAAATTAAGATTTAATTTTGCCAACTAATTTTTTTGTCAGACATTGTGGCGGGACGGCTCCACAATCGCCCGACTGATATTTGTATTATTAGGCCAAAAAAATTTAAAATTCAAGCATGTTTGTTTAAGTATATATATATATTACCGTCCCAACAGTTGAAGCCTAACCAATTCAATTCCATTTCTATGGTTAGCCCATGTCCCATGCCTCTCATTGTTAGGTTAGAAACAGAGCATGTGTTTGCAATGGTGCATGTGGCTTGCCACAATTAAGAAAACATTACATTGGCGTTGACGACTTTATTAACAAATTCAATTATAATTAATTAACATGTCAGTGGCCCAGGGATACTAAATTTTTATTTCTCAAATAGAGTTCAAGAGTTCGAGTCTCAATAAAATATGTGTGTGAGTACCAACTAAGAAAAAAAAAAAAAATAATTATCATAAAAAGACATTTTGTGCCGCATCTTACATCAATTCAAAAATATTGATATAACATAATTGTTATGTAAGCGAAAGTGACACGAAATCAAACGAAACCAACGGAGAAGATTCCGGTTCCGTATTAACAGGAAAGTAATAAGAAAAGCATGGCCAGCTTTGAGTGTTGAATTTCATTTTCAAGTCCTAGTTTTACACTATACAGTGCTACAAAGTCCGTTGTGCTACAGTGAATCAGCGACAAGTGGCGGGATAGGGATGGTTCAAACCAATAGTGAGTCTGTTTTTTTGTTTAGAGTCTTCAACCCTTTATGACTATAAGTCTATATAACTTATAAGGGCATGTGTGCCCACAGAATATATGGGACCCTAAAGTTTCAAGATAGAGACAAAGCTTTGGTCAGAGTCACACAAACGTGCAAAAAATCTGCTAAAAGAAGTTTAATGACAAGACCACATAAGATTAGCGATCTGACCCACAGATTATGAGTTCCCACTAATTTTTTCATGTTTCTTAACCATTTCTTTGAAACCCTTTAACGGTATACTTTTTAACACCTAGCTTGCACACACTATATTGTATATACCTATGATCATATGGAACATATGACGTATTGACACTTCAAGAGGAGACCAAGTCTAAAAAAATACATGCATTGTACCCTTCCAAAATTGTAGTCCGTCCATTGAAATATCTACCCATTTTTTATAGCACACTTATAAAAATCATGACATTCATTTAGTCAATAAAATGCACATTTCCAACCGTCCAAGCGTCTAAATCATCGAGTAAACACGAGAATAAATGAAACGAGTTAGAGTCAAGCACTTTAAGATCTCTGAAGATTTTATTACTAATCTAAACAACGTATTATTATGTATTTATGTACGTATACAAACTCTTAATTTGATCACTGAATTTATTCACATATCTATGTAAACTCTTGATTTCTTAGTTTTCTTGTTACGGGATCATGTGTGTATTCCTTGTTTACTAAAAAGAAACAATTTTCACCCAAAACAACATGTCCTACAAAACATCATTTTCATTCTTGTATTGCTTTTGGTTTCTCATTGTCGTGCTTAATTAAGAGGTTAATGAAGTGACATGTAAACACCATAAACGTGATAAGACCAACCCTAGGTCTTGTTTAACCCGCTTGTCCAACTACAAACTCCTAGTCTTGTCTCTTGTCTTGAATGTAAAGTTCAACAAATGTACCTTGTATACTTGCTAAATATATAATTAACTTTTAATTAACCTATCACAGTACGATATAATCCTTAACATTCTATAATCCCCAAACAAGGACACATTGAATTAACTATAGAGATAATGTTTATCCATTAAAATCAAGATTTGAAGAATAAATAGTGGTCTAGTGGCTCATGCATTGGGGTCAAAAAGCATGAGGTTGTTATCATGATATATACGAGTATATATGTCTTCAAAGTCCTTTAAATTCTTTTGCTACAATCAAAGAATCTATATAAGCTCTATCTATATATGCGTTCAACTGTTCAACTTAGCACTTCTTCAAAAAGAGAATCTGAACCAGATTAACACTCTGTTGAACAAAGCACTTGAAGAAATTAAAGAATATATGTACCGAAAGTTGAATTTTTGACTTGTCTTCTTTCAACAAAGCCGTTCTTTGATGAACCCTTTTCTTTAAATAAATCCAATCTTTTTGTGTTTTTCTCCTACACACCGAAGCCATTTTCCATTTGGGTTGTTGGTTCGAGAACAGAGTGTGAAACCAGAGATTCGAGCCGTCTGGTTGTTAGCTAGCACTATACATATCTCATATGTCAAAATGCATCCACCACAACTACTTGCTTGCGTATTTGCATATTAAATTGTCGGTTTATTTTCACTGTTGGATTGTTTGACTTTGAAGAGGAGGGGATATTGTATGAATGATGATCCGTGTTATAGTTTATTTATTTATTTAATTACTTTTTTAGTGATTCACATTATTAAAAAGTTGTCGGCAGACAGCTCACCGTAAAAGATTTTCAAATTTCTTTTGAAGACATATCGTCAAAAAAGTCAATCATTTCCGTGAATTGAGTTTTATCAAGTTTAATTTGATTTCAATTATTAGGATTTTATCAAATTTATATGATATGTGTTGGGGGAGAATTCCCTGACCTATGATTCCATCAAAATTAATTTGATTAATCCCAAAAGAATCAATTTCCGTAAACAACATATGGTAAGATATGTAAAAATTAAAATCTCGTGTTACATATTTAATTCTTCCATTAAAAATCGAAGTATGTATTAAGTGTAACAATTTGAAAATTCAAGAACGAATAGAAATGAAAGTCTTTTTTATTTTTTATTTTTTATTTTTTTTATCATCATTAAAACTCATGTAGCTCATTCTTCTCACAAACCAATCTTACTTAATTATGTTGAAAACTAAGGAAGGGTTAAAAAATGCAGATGGGATCTAGAAATAAATTAAGGATATGTATGGCATTCTTGAGCCTTATTACTGAAAGGGATAAATAGGCATGGAATTTCGATTTTGGGGATGGAATAAAATGATGTAATTCATGATATCAGTAGGTACAGTGGAAAAACATGAACCATCGGCTTTCTATTTAAAATATATATATATAATATTAAATTAATACAGTTTTTGGTAGTTATGACTTAAAAATTATAGTTGTGTAACATAAACATTAATAAATATTTATTAATGTTTATGTTAAAAAGCTTAAAAAGTGACATTCAATATTTCAACAAAGCAGATACGATATTCCCAAAAGGAGTATTGTTTAAAATTATTTAATACTAAAAGATTTTTAGCCTAGTGGTAATTTGGGAAAAAGTGTATGTTTGCTTTATTATTAAAGAAAAATTGAATCCTCAAAAAAAAAAACACAGAAAAAAAGTAGTGTGTGGATTCAGTCTTTTTGAAAAAAAAAAAAAAAGAAAAAAAAAAAAAAAAAAAAAGAGGCTGAAATGCACAAATAAAACAAAAGTGTTGCTCAAAGTATGGAAACATATGAAAACAGTAGGTGATGGAAAATTTGGTGTCAGGAGGGTTCAGAAATAGTATTCGTTCCACAAAACAAAAGTTGTCGATCAAGAAGAAAACGACACCCATGGATGTGGGCCCCACCCCACTTGAGGGAGATCTGGCCGTACAACACTGTGGGGACCCACTTGATTCGAAATCCAATGGTCTTTTCAACCCAACCGTCCCAGTTTAGTTTTACAGTCCGGTTGCCAGAATTAGAATTACGTCATCTATGGACACGTTTCGATCTTTGTCGAATGGGGGCTCAGTGGACAATTAAGCAAACCGTTCTCAACCATCCGATTGAAACGTTCTCAATCGAATGGTGGATACATTGATGACAATTTGACCCGTCTCACAGTTACCAACCTAACTAGTACCATTTTTAGTAATTTTGGGGGATCGTTTTATTTATTTGAACGGAGATGATTCGATGTAATAAAAATTCGCGTGTGTTTGGTGCGAGGGAAGGGGAGGTCGCCCCGCACCGCTCCGCCCTATTTAGATAGACAAATTATTTAAGTACTTTTATTTTATTAGTATATATATTTTCTACTATATATTAAGTACCATATATAACAATATTAAAGTAACAAATGAATTTGATTAAAAGGAAATTTACAATGGTGAAGAATTAAAAATAAGTGAAAAAAAGAGAGTAAATTTATTTCAACAATAAATAAATTATGGTCTTAAACAGGGCAGGGTGGGTATCCGCGAGGGTAAAAATATTAAACTGTTACAGAAATAGAGTGAAAAATTCTCCCATTTTTTATGATTTTGGGTGGGGGCAGAGGAGGATATGCCCGCCCAAATCCGCCCCGTTGTCATTCCTGCTCCCATGAGATATATTTTTCTTGGTTAATTTTTGAAAGGATATATAAATGTTTTTATGTCTAATCAAGTAAAAGGAGTTGTCTTAACAATCTAAGATTGACGCAGACCTTTTTGGGCCTAACAAAGCCCAACCCATTACTTGACTTCCTTGGCCAGTTGGCCTTGTTTTTTCCATGACCTTCTTTTTGGGCCTATACACTCACAATATGCTATTCTCTCGGTCTTAAAATAAGCATTCACTTTTTTAGTTTTTATCTGTCTTAAAATAATGTATTTTTAAAAAAGTCAATGTAACATTATTCACTAGTAATATAATAAATTTTTTTTAATAAAAATCATTATCTTAAAAAGTTAAACTCAAAAAAATAGACAATTAAAATGCGACACAGTGTGAGTTCATAAAAGTTTTAACTCTAAAAAATGGACAATTAATATGGAACATAAAGTGAGTATCTGTAAACTCGCACGGTGCCTGGCATGGATAAGGAGTCTTCTAAGGTGAGTCATAGACTTAGGCACGGACCTGTCACTGAATTATTTTTTTCAAATATTTTTTATCTTGTTGTCGCTAAAGGCCGTTTTGGGATCGACTCTTACTGAACCCAAAAATATTTGCTAGTGGTATTTACAGGTGAAATCTATGCAGTTATTTCACTCGTAGCCTTGAAACACACAATGTTGCACGATGAATCACTATCTCCACTAATTGCTAGAGTTATTGCCCAACTCTCTAAGTGGTGTGCTCATATTCGAGTCTCCTTATCTCTAATTTGGCTGGGAAAAAAAACTAATTAAGACACAATTCTGCATACGTATATATATAGATATGGACAGAGTTGTGTAGCACAATAGCAAAGTTTTGCAAAAGTGATCTCTATCAAAATTTCTTCATTAACACAAAATAAGAAACCAAGGAACCAGATTGAAGAAGATTCAAATGAAAAAAGAAAAAAAGAAAAAAAAAAGTGGTACATGAAAACAATACAATTATTCATAAAGAAGTTGGATGGTGCATGTTTGTACCAGCCACTTTATTTTGACGTGTGCAGTTTTATGGAAACCAAAGATGGGAATTAGTGTCATGCTGAGAGTGTCCAACACCATTTTCTTGGGGGAAGAAGTTGCAATTGAAGGTTGGAGCAGGTTGAATAATTTGATCATCATCTACTTGGTGGTGGTATACAGGTGGTTGATGAGCACGGAGGAGAGCCACCTCTGCTTCTGCTTTTGCTAGTTGGATTTGCAACGAATAGATGATTCCTACGCAACCATAAACTGGATCTCGAACACGACATTGTGCCTCGTAGTGCAACGAATCTGCTACTTCACCTCGTAGATCAACCGGGACCCGCTCATCCTTATCAACCAAACCACCAACAATTTCAAGACTAGGTTAGCTTCAAGAAGTTGCACCTATTATATATATACATATGGTACTATATATATATATGTCTTTGCTGTTGCAAACAAATGGAGTATATTATGAACATGCATTTATTATTAGAAGTACTGTTTAAATGGAAAATTATAGTCGTAAAAGATTTTAAATGAAGCTAAATAGTTGATTAAGTAAAGCATATATATATATATATATATAGAGAGAGAGAGAGAGAGAGAGAGAGAGAGAGAGAGAGAGAGAGTAGCACTTTAGATTTAATACCTTGATCATTTTTGCGATATTGCTAGCTCCATAGTAATTATGAACACAAGCAAATCTTTGAGGATCGTTGGAAGGAAAATATGGAGAGAAAATGCAATCTGAAGGGCATCTTCTTCTCAAATACTTGCAAGCTGCACAACGAGTGGATGTCATCATATATATATATATATATATATATATATATATATCCTCAGAAAAATCCTTCTATCAAAATCTACCGCACAAAGATTTTCTGAGATCTTTTGTTCTTAGAAAAATCCTATCAAAATCTACCGCACAAAGATTTTCTGAAATCTTTTGTTCTTAGACTGAAATCTAATGCAGATTTCAGTTTCTTAATTGTTCATTTCAGACAAAAATGATGAGTATATATTTGTATTAAGGGAATGAGTTAGCAGAGGAAAGTTATTTAACGGCTATATTTTTAAAAAAATTTAGGTGTTGTAAGGAAAGTTGTCGTTGGTGGAGAAGAATTCCAATTTTGGGAGAGCTATTAAGTTGGTAATTAAGGAAACTCAAATTAATCTGAGGGTTTTGAATCATCCACAATAAGGTCGATCGTGTCCATTAAATGAATAGATAATAAGGGATCTGCTATTAGCTTGGTACAATCTAATTAAATACTTTATTATAATTTTTCTTACCCAAAAAATGTAATTAAAAATTAATATATATATTAAATTAATGTTAGGATGGCAAATGATAATTGACATTAATCAGCACAATCTCTGGGTCGCTTATTGATTAAGTGCTAATCAGATTATCAAATTAAGAAATTTTTTGATCAATGACAACTCATTGTCATATATATTCTCTTTATTTTTAAGAGCTGATCGGTTTTTTTTTTTTTTTTTGATAATGAAGTTTCGCCTCGACTAATTTCCAAGGACCCAAGAAGGGCACCTCCTCACCCCGAGTCAAGTAGCGGAGGTGTGACTCCAAGTAATCGTAAGTTTCTAATGAGAATTGAACCCCGCACTTGGTGCTCTGAAGGCACCAAAACCAATTTAATTTTACCACTAGGGGTTGAGCTGATCGGTTTTAGTTAATCAAATTGGACCCTTTTTTAATGTTTTTAATAATTAGACGATCAAATAAATGGAGACGTTTAGTGGATTAACGGGGTAAAATTTATTTAATGATCATCATAATGAGTGGATGGAAAAACCCAAAACCCTTCTATGTACTTGTTTAGATGTGTCACATGATCTTGACACTACTGGATTAATTGGATCAGAAAAATCTGTGGCTTTGTTGCTTGAATAATAACAAAGAATGTATGAATTATATGCACTTATTCAATAAATAAATATAAGTAGATTTGATAATGATTATAGTGGAGTGATAATGAATAGATAGATAAATATTAATTATGACCTGTTTTTAATTTTGTAAAATTCTGTCCATAAATAGAAAGAAAAGAAGTTAAAAAATTGAAAAAAACACTCGGACAGAGGAAGCTACTCTTAATTGGCTACATTGCATACGCTCATGTTCCATCCCAACACAGAAAAGTTTGATGAGAAAAGTGAAAAGTGTATATTCATTGGCTATAGTGATGAATCAAAGGCGTGCTCAATCCCAAAACAGAAGGAAAAGTGAAAAAGTGTATATTCATTCACGTTGTAGAGAAGTCTAGATACTCTGGACTGCTATTGAAAGGTGTTGGGCAGTTAAAATATTGCATTGGGAGTGTAAGAGGTATTTTCTATATATATGTACTCCTTGTTAATGTAAAATCATGAAAAAAAAAAGCATTCAGCCCCCAACAACTTAGAGACAATCAGAGAGAGAGAGGGAGAAAGTTGCCAGAAAGTTCAAGAGAGAGGAAGGCAGTTAATGGAAAATGCAAATTGTAATTGCTGTAACAAACTTAAGTCTTTAACAACCTAGAGAGAGGGTTATAGAGAAAAAAACTAGGGCCCAATGAGAGGAAGTACCACTGGACCAGGTAAGTTCTTTGTTCTTTACAAAAGCAAGGGTTTTTGTATGATTTTATTTCCTTGAAACAAAAATTAACTATGCTTTGTTTGGATGCTGATGAAATAGTTTGGGAGAGAGGGAAAGTAACTAATTTGAAGTGTTCCATTTTCATTGTCAAGTTGTCTGGTTCTCAATGAATGAAAACCTCACCTATTTGAAGCCTGGTAACTATGTTATACATATTTAAGCTCCATTATATCGGATCTTGCTGATGACAGAAGTCACATAATGCCTTTTGGTGACTCAGCTACATAATATGTTCATATGTTATGATGGAGTTTACACCTAAGTTGTGAACAATATGAATAAGGCTACCTAACTGATTGTGCACAAATTTTTTGCAGGGTCGATGGAGGTCAAAGTTTCGTCGATTGGTTTTCTAACATGGTTCAGGGATCTTAATTGCTATTTATTCTAGACAGAAAACTGGAGACTGATATGCATACCGGAATGGTGTTCTTGGTGGTTTTACTAGATCTTTGATTTGTGGTGCTGGCAAGGCTCAGGATCTAGCAGTATACAAACTACAAACATGCATAACATATTTACAATGAAATATAATATATAAATATTTACTGAATCAATAGAATAATTATAGATACAAAAATATTCTTATGCAAGCACAAACACAGCCAGAAGCTACATGAAAAAACTAGTCTAAAAAATGTAGCAATTGTAGTATTATATCGTAGCAACAGACAACAACATAAAGTTTTTATGTTGCACACTGTAATATATGTGCTTAGCAAGAGTAACTATACAATGCACCAGTCATATATCTACTTCCTAAAGTAGGGTGACACAGAGCAGGTAAAAGCTAGTATAGTGTAATCACAAAGCTAGTAAAAGTAATGCACTGTCAAGGAAAGTAAGTGGAGGTCTCATGCTGAACCATGTTATGTGGTCCACTGGTCTCCTTTGTTACGATAGCCAAGTGGAACCAGCATCCTCCCAATTGCCTTCCTCTCCCACTTTTTTGTATCAGGATCCACCATCACCCTACCTTGCCATCCCTTCCCCTTCCTCAGGTAAGCAATCGCTCTTGCTTCATTTACAGTAGAAACTGTGATCACCGGTTCTTCAAACAGGTTCTCGACTTGCATATCAAATGGTGTCCTCACCTCATGTAGAAGTCGACGCTCGTCCTCCAAATTAGTTTGAAGCTGCTCCATCCTCTTTGACGCCTTTTCTGCTTTGGAGACTTTAAGTTCAGTGCCTCTAATTTGCTTCTCAATTCTCTCCACCTCACCATGGGGGTGCAAGAAATTTTCCAATCTGCCTTCCATCTTGCAACAGGAACAAAAGAAAATGAATCTCTGCAAACCAAGTCATCATTACAGTTCCAAGGATTATTGTGTATTAACTTGCATGCTAGATGGTCTCTAAAATCATTATCTTTAAAGTTGATGAACATTCTTACTCAACTCAAGTGACTCAAGTGTATCAAGCATTTCATATAGCCCGAGAAAATCAAGGGAACTTATTATTTTATTTTCTGTAACAGTTTCTATAGTAGTGCCTTTAGATTTTCTCTTTCTTATTTTAATTGTTGCAGTTGTTTGTTTTGTTCTGTTGGAAACCCTAGTTTGTCAAAGATATTCTATGCTCAAGATAGTTCAGTAACATTTTGATTTAATCTCGGCTAATAGCTTAAGCCATGAAATTTAATCATTATCGGAAATATGTTTGGAGAATTATAACTCCAAGGAAAGTCCAATTTTTCCTCTGCCAAAGCTGCCATGAACGATTGACAGTGCTACATCAGTTGAAGAAGATTAGAGGAGCTGTGGATAACGCAGTGTGTCAACTATTTGAATTAGAAGAGGATACTGTTTAAAATGGTTTGTGACATTGTCTATAGCTAAAACTGTGTGGGAAAATGAATCCATTTAGGTTGTTATTTGATCAATCACAGGTCAGATAAGCCGACACATTTGACACACTAGAAGAAACTTTGGATGTGTTACGAATAATATTCAAAGAGGTGAAGAGGAACTACGACGCACATTTTATGAACAATTAAGGCTTATTAATCAGAGAACACATTTAGTTTGATGAACTACCAATTCAAAAAGATCCGAAGTCAAACGGATCCATATCCATACCAGAATATACATACTACTAAAACAGTTTCAAGCACATTACCAGAATTTGCTACCTCCAACAATAATAGCTTTTGGGAAATGTAACTAACATTTCAGAGAAATAAGCCCCAAAACATAATTGACAATTATTTATAAAGCAAATGAAAAAAAAGAGCAAACAATAAATGAAAACAAAATAGACCCACAAACAAGTAGTAACACTTTCTTCAAGAATCATTTTGGCATGTGATAGATCTCAAAAATCAATGATGAAACTGAAAATTGAACTATAGCGAAACATTTTGAAACCCTTTCTAAACCAAATTAACCTAGCATTGAGGTGAATGAACAATTTCTCTATCTAATCACATGAATATGCTCGTTTAACTTCCCAAAGTAGGATAAAGGAAAAACTTTTAATGCAATCATAAAGAGAGCCAACAAGTACACAAGTCAGAGGCTCTTCAGGGGACAATAAGCAGATAGCCTTAAACTAATGAGTAAGGAAAAAATAAGCAGATATACCACGATGCAACACTAGACTATCCGAAACAAAGTAATTGAATGAAGTCAATAAATTGGTTTAAAACAAAGCAAATATTTATGCACATATTGACAAACAATGCAGGGACAAGAGTTACTGATTATGAATCCTTAAAACACTTCCATAAAGACCCAAACGACAACCTCACCTTCTCTTAAGAGCGTCGTAGAACTGTAGAACCCACCAAAAATAATGCTCTCTTGCTCTTGTCCAACCTGTAACATAATCCAAGATAACACATAACAAGAACTTCCATAAATAGCATAAAATTGAATTTTGATAGGAAATTAAAATAGGGAGATAATATGAGACCATAAACTGGGAATAATAGCATCCAAAAATCAAAAGAGCATATGCCGTCCAAAATTAATCAGCTAAGATGGAGAAGAGAACATAAATGTGTGTGACAGGTCCGGACACACAACACAAATAGAGAGTTTTAGAAGAATCATTGCCATGTAAGAGCTAGGTTTTGAAAGTTATAAAAGAATTTGCAAGAATGAACTAAAAAAGAAGTGCATGTAGAAGTGTAAATTAGTTTT